GAAGGTCTGACTGAAGCCCCTTCCATCAGCAACATTGCCCATCTGACCTCCTCATATTGGAAAACTAAGTACTTGAGGAATTACCCCTTCCTCATGGGGGTGTCTTGGAAGAGAAGGGAGAAGTGTGTTAGGGGGAGCTATCGCACCCAGAACAAGTGGAAGGCACCCACTTTGGCAGCAATTAGACACGGGCTTCAGGGGTGGACTGCCAGGGCCCGCACACCTGCTGCGTGTCTTCCAGAAGCTTCCACCACTAAGTGTTCGGGTTCTTGTGGTTGGGGGCTTCATGGTGACCCCATATGACAGTAGAGCCGTCCCCTAGGGTTGCAGGGCTTTCTCATGAGAGCAGCTGGTAGATTTGAACCGTGGACCTTTCTGCAATCGAGTGCTTAACCACTGCTTCACCAGGGCCCTCTGTTAAGTCTTCACTGCTGGGAAAAGGCTTTCTGGCCTTCTCCTTTGGGTACCAAGCCTGGATTATGTACAGTAGGCATGATTTGAATGCAAGGACAAGGTAGTGCGGGCAGACAGGTCTCAGCTCCGCGGCAGGCCCCGGCGGGCACCCAGAGGAGAACAAAGGCCACAGTCAGGCGGGTGGGGGTAGGCGGGCTGTGGGCTGCCCTTGAGGGGCCCCTGGCACCAGCCGCTGGCATCCTGTCCCCATGCCAGGGCCCTGGAGGGCACGCCCAGGCTTCAGGGCCAGGCAGAGGTGGAGGCTGAGTGGGGCCCCCCCACGGGCGGTACCTCCCGTTGACTCATTGGTAAGCAGGGCCTCCCTGGGGAAGACAATGATGGTTTGTGGCCGCAGGGAGAGCCCTCTTAGCAGGTGTGAGCCCCACGGTGGGCCTCGCTGACCCTCAGCCACTTCATCTGGACTGCGTAACCACTTGGGTACAAGCGTGTGGCTGGAGAGGACCACGTCCAGAGCTAGAAGGGGTCTTTACTCTGATGACCCATCAGCCTCTGGACCCAGTTTTGGTATTGCTGCGCCCCAATACCCAGTGCACGCCACACCACTGGCTTTCATTCACTGCTGGTCAGTGGGTGCACTGGTGGCCACTCTAGGGACACTGGAAACTGGCGCCCTCAGAGGGTGAAGTTGAGGGCTTAGAACTCAGAAGGTTCAGCCCTAGTCCCACCACAGAAATTCACACTGGCAACCAAAGTGGACCGCTGACACCCCCAGGCCCCCAGAGGGATCAGGGCAGGGCCATGGGGAAGGACTGGGCAGAGGGGCCCTGGGCAGACGGTATTGGGATTGCGTCTCTACAGACCCAAGGTCCCTTAGTGGGAGCAGGCCATAGAATGCAGGTATAAGCTGGAGGTGGCCCTCTGTGCCAATTACTGGGAGCGTCCATTTTCCTGATGGGCAAACTGAGACCAAGAGGCGGCAGATATTTGCCCAAGGTCACAGACAGGGAGACGATGGGAGAATCTCTGAGCCAGGAGGGGTCCCATTGTGGGGGACCCCAACTCACGCACAACAGGATGGCCAGGTAGCTTTCATAGGCACCCCCTCTGCTCCAGCCTCCCCTTGGGGTTCCCCAGTACCCCTCCAGGGAAGCCCCAATTGTCTTTCTATCTTTTCCTGGAGTGAACCCTAGGCAGGGGGTGACACTGAATTGCATTTGGGGGGGGGGGGGAACTCTACGGTGAGGGGTGGGGTTGGGAAGAGGATTCCAGGCAGAAAACACAGCAAGAGCAAAAATCTGGAAGGTTCTGGAACACCAAGGAGGCCAATGTGGCTGGAGTGGAGTGAGTGAGGACTCTTCCCAGACTAGAAAGGAGTGTGCATTTTCCTCTGGGGACATGTGAGTAATGAAAGGTTGTGTTTTTCTCATTTGTTACTGTTCTTCGTCTTGTGTTTCAGTAGGGTTCTGAAGTGCCCCTTTACCACGTGGAAGGAGCTTCTGACAGACAAGACAGAAGGCCCATCGGTCAGTTCTGCCAAAGTCCTATCCAAATCTGGCTGAATAAGTGAACACAAGTCCAAATTCCATTTTAATAGTTGAGGAAACTGAGACTATGGCAGTTACAGAGAATCATCTCAAGTCAGAGGTACAGCGGGGTTCCATGTGGAGCTTATTGATCCCAGGGTAAAGCGGGCCTCGGTTTACCCTGTCATTAAAGTGAGTCTGATTTCCGCTACAGGCTTAGAATGCACACTTGCAGAACTCAGCACCCTAAGCAGGCCCTAAGAACGAAGATACGACAGAAGTGAGCTGTCCCCGCGGGCGGCCACACCAACCTGAGAATAAAATTCCAAATCCCACCCCCTCCCACCGCTTCTCGCGGCCTCTCGCTAGGAGAGTCCCGCCTCTATCACCGCTAGGCAGCGCGGCGGAGGCAGGGCGGGGCGCGGCCTTTCCGCCAATGGCCAACCAGCCCGCCCATCATCCCGGCGCGCCTTTCCATTGGCCTTCGTCTCTCAGGCTTAGACTTCCATCTCACGGTCGATCTCAGCTTTCGTCATGCGCTTTGCACTAAATCTACGTGCGCCTCCGAGAAGAAACATAGTCCCTATCCCATCCCCACGTCACTGGCCACCAGAAATACGAGAGTGATCCTGGACGCCCCTGTTCCCAATGAGTGGCTGTGCGGCGCTTGTTTGAGCGCTCGAGAGAGCGACCTGTGGATGCCGCGGTCCGAGCCTGTCGGGGCCCAGCGCGGAGGGATTCGTCGCGGAGACCGGGCGGGGTGCGGGGGCGGAGCCTGGACGGGGGCGGGGCCGAACAGGGGCGGGGCCTGCGGCGGCGCGGGCGGGGGGCGGAAC